ACATTGCTGCAAAAGAGAGGTTGAACTAACCAGGTGCCATCAAGCTGAAGTCAAGCAGACTGAAAGAGTTGATGATGGTGAAGTGGAACCAAATATAGATATCAAGGCAGAACAGGAGAAAGACCAAGATTTGAGGCCAATGATTGATTTTCTAAAAACAAGTGTTTTGCACCCTGCTTGGGAGAAGGTGTCTAGTCTAAGCCCTGTGACAAAGCACTATTGGGCACAATGGGACCAATTAAAGCTTGCAGATGGTATTCTTGTACGGAGATGGCAAACTACCGATGAGAAGGACGTGGCGTGATACTAGTCACGTGATCTCGCTGACGCAACAGTAGTAAAACATCTAGAATCAATTATATCACTAGCAACTCATCTTCGTTTCAACTAGAACTGTTCAACATCAGACAAATACTTCAAAAGAAATTATCCTATTGATTTTATCAATAAGAATGTAAAAAAAAAATCTTGATAAACTTTTAATCAAACAAAATCCTGAAGGTATTTCCACCACAAGAAAATTCTCCATAATCTTAGTTATACCTTACTTGGTAAATGATCCTATGTTTATGGGAGATTACTTCATTCAACTTCTGAGGAGAGTTTTTCTACAGATTGCCTTCTGAATTGTCTTTAGAGGTACTTTTGGACTTAATTTTTTTTCCTGATAAACATAAAATTGCCAAAATAATGAAGTCATTAATTGTTTACAAATATAACTGTTTCTCGTGCTCAAAAGGCTACATTGACTTTTCTATCAGAAGTTTATGCCCAGTAATTAGTGAACACATATCACTTTCTCTATATAACGAATCGCGTGTCGTAGCATACGTGTAAAATGAAAGTGACATTCACATTAAAAATGCCCCCCCCCCCAGTGGCCCAGCGGTATGTCTGTGGACTTAACAACGCTACAATCCGGGTTTCAATACTCGTGGTGGGCAGATCACAGATAGCCCATCGTGTAGCTTTGTGCCTAACTACAAACTACAAACAATCAAATTAAAAATACAAATTTTGAAATTTGTTTTTCAGCTTCTAATGAAAGAGCCTTTTGTACCAAAGAATATCTTAACATCAAGATATTATATCGAACTATAAATGTCCAATATTCTTCAGTTAACATGATAATAAGAAAGTTGATAATATAAACGGTAAATTGAATTGGACTAGAAAAAATTGCATTTTGGAATTGTACCAACATATTGAATTTCTCTATAAGTAATCCAGTTAACTGCCCAGAATTAAACAAGGTGTAAAAATCTTTCAAGTTTGACATAAAAAGCCAGAATTTGGGACTTACTTTCAAATTGAAATAACATCACCAATGGTGACACATTTGTTATTATCTTTATGATCTGAGTATATTAACATATTGTGTTGGAAAGGACTGTTAACATACCCTTTCCAGAAGCGATCGATTTTGGGCTGGCCATTGTTTTAATATAATTTTCTTAACTCTCTGTGTAGGATGTAAAGAGTAAACTATTTACTAATTGATATCTACTACTAATAAAAAATACATTAGTAACTAATTGGTAATTGCACAGTGTGACTGTATAGACTACTAACCATGATCGGCATGGCCAGGTGGTTAAGGCGTTCGATTCTTAATCTGGGGGTCGCGGGTTCGAATCCCCGTGGGGCATTATATAG